AAAACATAAGTCTGCTACATAAAATTTCTTTAGTAGTTATGTAACAGTAAGGATTTAACTAGGAATATTTTTGAATGTCGAAACTCATTAAAAATGAACTAAAATTGAGTCTATACTTTCAAGAACTGAAAGGTGACATCCTATAAACAACTAAATGAATTGAGTTCCATCATTCCCGCGATCATCGTATGGTTTTAGCACCAGAGTAGAAGAGCATTATGGGCAAGGAACAAGTACATTTGCATAAAATTTAATAGTAGCCACCACAAAATTGAAAAATATCACAAGTAAATCTTGGCTGCAAGTTTCCTAGAGATTACTCTGTACAAAGAAGATATCTCAGCTGAATGTATCACATGTTCAGCTTCACTGGATATTTCGCATTCTGCACTGAAAAATATATGTATCAGTAACATCACAGTGAAAGAACACTTCTAGCTCACAACAGAATTTTTTTGGTTTCTTAGTGCAGGAACCCTCAATGGTCTTCATTGCCCCCACCATGCCTATGTAATGGGTCATCCTCGTCAATCCCAGCACCATCTCTTCCATCACTATAATTAACCCACGGTAGAATTGACTCAAATAGAACAGCCAAAGGATTGCGATTTGCTATATCATGTGGTGGTGGTGGATGGCCCCGATCTACTGGATTAACAATTTGATCACCATTCTGGGCACCCTCCCTCATCCTCATATCAGCTATAAAATTTTGAAGGTTATCGGGTGGAAGAGTTGGCATTGAATCAGAAAAATCCTGAACCATCAAATGAGGATACCTAGCACAAAGCAAAAATAATTTGTCAATTCTTTTTATCTCAAAAAAAGAATTGTCAATTGAACTGCAGTTTGCATCTGCATAACTATCAAACTAATCACAGCAAACAATTCTGCTAAAATGATCTACAGAATTTATCTGAGGACAAAAACAGTAAGGGATCTACCTAACTTAATTATTTGATGGTACTTACTGGATTCATAAAATCTGAATCCAACCTCCACTCTATATCAAAAAGGGAGCGACATTACAACAAAATTGGCTAAGAGTATAAAGAATTTTAAGTACTTACTCATTTTTCTCTGAGGGAAAAGCCTCTTTTCTTACACAAGCCCAGTTCTTAGCATCACTTCCGTCGAGATCCAACATCTCAATAGCCAGTTGTGCACTGTTCTTAAGTAATTTTTGCAAATCAGGAAGTCTCCATATCATGTAACTCCTTTCTACATATATATTAATCAGGTGATCCAAGGATGGGATCCTCGTCTGATCTAAATGAAAAAAGGAGTGTTTTAGTATCTTTGTCCATGCCTGATCTTTTAAAGGTACTTTGGCAACCAGTTTCTTAAGAACTGAAGGGTGAAGCATCAGAGCCTGTTTCATCAAATCCGCTGAAGTAGCTTTTGTAGCATCCATATCAGAATCTTGTGAGGATTGCTCTTGTTCAAGATAAAACCGGCAAACAGCAAGTGAATACGAGAAATTTGGAAACAACCACAAGGAGTTATCATTTTTATACTCCTCAGAGAACCGCTCCAACCATGTATATTCGCCTGCTCTTAAAGCAAAGTAGTCAATGCAGAACAAGGCCCCCATGGAATCATCTACATCAAGTGAAAGCAATAGCTTGCAAACCTCTAGAGCAGATCTATGACAACCACGCCTGTCCATATTTTTCATGTGACTGAAAAGTGTTGTGAACAATGGCTTGTTTGTTTCATGGTGAAATTTTAATTGACAGTTACCCAGAAATGGAGTGAACATAGGATGCCATGCGCATTCCAATGCATATAAACACTTAGCTATAGCATCTGCTGACATTTGATGTTCACCCGCAAATCTAAAATAGTCTGCCATTGTTATAAGTGAATCCAAATGATAAGGATTATACAAGAGAACACTCGCTACACCATTCAAGTCATGAATTGCTTGTGCAGCTTGAAATGCTCTTTGGGCTCGACTATATGAAGATGAGTGCACGTATCTACATCAAACAAATAAGAAAAGGAAAGGGCACGTGTAAAGACATAAAAATAAAAATGACAAACAGGAAAATTTTATCAGAGACATTATGTTCTAGTGGTAAATTGAGTAGGAAATGAGCACATGAGAAAAGGGAGAAGCAAGAAAAGAGATCTACATGATATTACAAATGAGGTTCTTAATCATGCTTTTATTCAGAGAATGGGGATTGCTTAAGTTGTGAAATTAATAAAAAATTACCAAAAATTTAATGTCAAGACAATATTGTAATGGTTCATCAGCGGTCAAACCATCAGTCACTTGACCAATGGCAGCTCTAACACTTGGCAATTCTCAATTCTCATTTATCAATAATATCATGCAAGGAGAGCTGCATGTGCTTGCTGCAAATCTTGAGCATCATATATAATGGGTGAATGGTTAAGTTAATATACATAAAATCACTACCGATTCTTGGTTGGCCTTATTTCATCAGAAAAGCACTTATAATGGTGATTACTACCAGACAGAGCAGCTCATTATTCACACCAATCATTGTGATTGTGTGGCTAGTTTCATTAGAAAAGCACCAGTAGGAAAACAAGATCACAAGATACAAGCTGGCTTCTAGCACTTTCATGCAAAAGATTGAACTTGAGGCACAGTAGACAAAATCTCATTTACAAAACACAAGAATGTCCTCTTTGTTGTTTATGGAAAAGGCCAAATAGAAGGCTACTTACGGTAAGATCATTTAGTCATTGAACCAACTGCTACTTAATTGTGAGATTGAAATTCGCCACACAATCACTGACCAACACAACCAATACTTTAAAAAAATCACTACCATAATATCAGTTCAAATTACTTCTGATGTTCATATTGCTTCCAGTTAGCAAAAGCATTTATCACCAAAACCACCACCTATCATGCCATAAATATAAGTGACAAACAAAACCAACACCTTCATAAATCACTATCCAAAC